CCATCGCACCGGCATCACCATCACCATCGCCATCGCACCGGCATCGGCACCGGCACCAACCCGGGCCCGGCAGCGCCGGCGGGATGCGGGACCACCCGCGGGGTGCTGGGGTCGGCGAGGCCGGGTCACCGGGGCCGTGGGTGCCGAGATGTGTTTATTTCCTTCTTACAGTGCAGCCTACGGCTTTTCCCCTGCTTTCCTGTGCTGTTTGTCCCATCCCTGGAAGTGTTGCCCCATCCCTGGAAATGTTTGTGCCCCATCCCTCGAAGTGTTCAAGGACAGGTTGGATGGAGCTCTGATCAACCTGGACTAGTGGAAGGTGTCCCTGCCCATAGCAGGGTGTTGGAGCAAGATGAGCTTTAAGGTCCCTTCCAACCCAAACCATTCAGTGATTCTGTGATTTGTCTATGCACATGAAGAGAAAGTCCGCACACACTTGCAGATAAACCTCTGTCCCACTAATCATCAAACCATCTCTGTGCTCTCAGACTGCCCGTTTAAAATAAAAATTTAGCAAAATCAGTGCTTCTTGGTCAATCTGACCAAACAGACTTCACTTCTCTGAGAAGGAAGGTTTGACTTTTGTGCACTTAATGCCTAGCTGGGTTATCTGATTTCAGTAGCAATCCTACTGCGGGATCAGGGAGTTATGGTTCGTACACTATCAGATGCACTGTAGCTCCTTGAAACGATCAGCAATAAGTCAGAACATTTGAAAAATGGAAGCAGACAGTGCAAAAAATAAAGCATGGTAACAGACTGTGCTCTGGCTTCCCCACATGCTCTACTATACGCGGCAGTTTAGTGTTCTGACACACAGAGCAGCAGAAAACAAAACTCAAGCTGAGCATATTTTTCCTCCATAAAGATGACATTGCAAATGTGTTTTTTTAGAATTAGCATAGCTGTTTGTGGAGTTTGTAGTCACTGCGGTGAAAGGAACGCGTGGACAAAGCCGTTTCTCTACCATTAATTTCCCTGCATAATCTTCATACCAAAAGCCCAGCCAGCCTTTGGGAAGGCTCTTGTGTTGATAATTAAAATCCCAAATGTATGAGATAAGCTGAATGCCAAATGCCGAGCACTTTGTCATCTGAGAACAAAAAGGCATAGAGCTCATCTGCTTTATTGGGTCCAAATGGGGAGGTCAGGAGTGGTAAGAAAGTTTAAAGAGTGATTATTAGAGTCTGAACTTGGGCCCACTAATTACAGCAAATGCAGAAATTCCTTGTTCGCGCAGACATTCAGACCAGATAAAGGAAACGCACAGAGCTCAGTTATTTTCTTTTCAGATTTTATCTGAAAGCCACATGGGAGTTTGCCTGAATATACATGGGTGTAATAAAAGATATCACAGAATCACAGAACCATTGAGGTCGGAAAAGAGCTCCAAGATCATTGATTCCAACCTGTGACTGGTCCCCACCTTGTGAACTGGACCAGAGCACTGAAAGCCACATCCCATCATTCCTTGAACATCTCCAGGGATGGTGACTCCACCACCTCCCTGGGCAGCCCCTTCCAATACCGGAGATATGCCATGTATGTACTGGGGGGGATTGAATGTAATTTGTTCCAAATTGCAGAAATATGGAAGATAGTTTAGTATGTTTGCAAATTTTCCTAAGAACAGGTGTGTATATATCACCAGAGTACAGCAGCTCTGCAGGGAAATCATGGATTGCAGTGAGGCCCTTGGGTTACATACTGGGAGGGCTTTTGGATATCATGGTGCCCAGTGAGATGCCAAAAATGCCTGTCTGTGAGGCGAAGGACATGTGTGTGTCAATACAACGTGACTCTGTTCCATAACAGGGTGGCTGCAGGACCATGGGCTGGCGTGGGAAAGTATGTCCCCACTGAGACAGCAGTCTGCTCGTGGAGCCTTGGAATAACACATCAGTGCTTGTTTTTCCGTGTGTTTGGTACCGAACTCTTTCATTAGATACCTCCTTGCTCTCACACACAGTGTATATAGTACATATGTGTGTGTCTGTGTGTATATGAACACTCGAGATGGGCCAAAGTGAATATTTACCCCATGTATCAGAAGGTACTTGCAATGTACTAATAAAGTAGCAAAGACAAACCGAGACCTTTTCTAAATGGACAATTTATTTTGAAGGTTATGTTCCTCCTCAAAATAAGTTTCACAGGAGGCAATCAGAATTTCTGCCCTCCAATTTTAGCTCTGCTCCAGACACCCACTGTGGCCTTGGACAAGACACATAAGCTCGGCTACTCTATTTCTATTGGTAGATTAGAGTTTGTCTACACATCTCTTGGGGGTACGGCCAGGATTAATTAATTCTTACTATTTATTACTTGCTAACTGCCTGCAGTGCAGGAGATGTAAAACACTGAACATCAAAAGTGCCTTTTCACAGATTAAATGGTGTAATGTGTTGACTATTTCATATAGGTACCACTGCCCTATAGGGTTGGAAATGATTATTTGAGGGTAACAAACCTTAAATTGCCAACAGCTGAAGGATTTTCTTTTGGCACAAGTCCTGCTGGACTGTGTGTTGTACTGGGAGCACCAGAGCAATGGGGTTTGTGGCCAAGGAATGCAGCAGTAGATCCCCATATACATTATGTTGGAGCAAGTCCAGAGGAGGCCAACAAGTTGATTAGAGGGATGTAGCACCCCTCCCACAAGGAAAGGCTGAGAGAATTGGGATTGTTCAGCCTGGAAAAGAGAAGGCTTTGGCATGACCTGCTTGTGACCTTCCAGTACCTGAAGGGAGCCTGCAAGAAGAACAGAGAGAGACTATTTACAAGGGCCTGGAGTGACAGGACAAGGGGAAATGGCTTCAAACTGACACAGAGTAGGTTTAGATATTAGGAAGAAATTGTTTATTGTGAGGGTGGTAAGGCCCCGGCACAGGTTGCCCAGAGAAGCTGTGGCTGCCCCGTCCCTGGAAGTGTTAAAGGCCAGGTTGGAACTGGGCTTGGAGTAACCTGTTCTAGGGAAGGTGTCTCTGCCCAGGGCAGGGGGGTTGGAACTACATGATACTTAAAGTCCCTTTGAACCCAGGATATTTTATTATTTCATGATTGTCAGGGTTATTTCCTATGTATTTTAACATATTAAAATATTTTATATACTTCACCAGTTTTTCTCTCCACTGTTTGCTCACAGTCAATGGTGGTGGATTTTGCCATCACATGATGATACAGTGTGATAAATCTCTGTTCTCTGATGAGTCAGCTTTGTGTGGGAACAAGTATGAGATGCTGACAAATTGCATCAGCACTGTAACTTCTGTCTCAGGCATCAACATTTTGATTTTTATCAGTGCTACCCAGGGCCATAGTATCAAAGTCTTTACTTTTTAAGTGAAAGTCTTCTCAGATCTCTTTCATCCTCTTTTTGACAGATGGGAAAGAGAGACATGACTGATGAGGTTATTTGCCGAAGGTCCCACAGGAAGCAGAAGCAGGAAAGAACCGTGGAGTCCAACTGCTGATCTTCCTCCTCGGAGAATCTGAAGAAATGTAACAACTTGCTATTTTCAGATTTACTTCCACATGGCTCTTCCTGAAAGCTAATGAGGCTGCAGCCTCATTTTCAGAGACGACATGATGGAGGTTTCCCTGACTCCATATGATGCACAGTACTTCTGTTTAGATGCGGTTTTGAGGAATGCTGGCTCTCATTCCAGAATTTCCAACAGCAAATTTTAGGCTGATTCCAAGCTAATATAATCCATCCCCTAAAAAGCCATAGCAAAGCGACTGGTATCCATCTCCACCACCGCAGTGCCGTGTGAAAATGATGTTAAACTGAGCAGAGTTTATTTTACTGGAATGACCAAGGGAAAGAATTCTACTATACAGAGGGATCCCTGTGGCTGAGGAACCCATCAGACATCAGGAGCTGGCCAAGTATGAAGAGAATGAAGAGTCTGCCAAATCCTGCTCATGCCTCCCTGTGCCCTCTGGTAGTGCATGTCCTTCAGCACCTCTCCAGGAGCCCAAACTCATCGCTCCAAATGCCTTGGCACACACCTCTTCTACAGTAAATGCTGGGATGGGAAGTTGGAGCTTCTGAGGGAATTTCCATCAGTTGGAGAGAATATTGCTGTGGAGAACAATGTTATGTTTCTCTCCTGACCTCTGCAAAGCCCCATGCCTACTCCTGTGGACTGCTTTGGCAGGTTCTTTATCTTGTCTCTGTTAATATCAGAAGGAACAGTGATGCTCCCTCTTACTTTTATGTGTTTCTGCAAAGCTCTGTAGTTTTGATCTTCAGTTTCTGTAGAAAAGGGGTCACTGAAAAGGCTATTTAATGGCAGCATCAGAGGTGCTGGTAGGAATCTCTAGGGGTGGCAGATTCTACTGCAGGAACCCCGTTGGATGGGGCTTGGATCAACATGGTCTAGTGGAAGGTGTCTCTGCCCATGGCAGGGGGGTTAGAATGAGATGACCTTTAAGGTCCCCCTCAACCCTGGCCATTCTATGATTCTATGAGGGAGGTTTTGCTAATGGTCAAAATATACATTTTTTTAAAAAAATTAATTAACTTAGACTACTAA